ATTGGGGTAATCGGGATGGGTGTGTCAGAGGCAATGAGATTGGCACAGGATAGAGCAGGGTTTAGGGCTGTTGTACATAGGGTCGCTATGAGTTGCAAACGACTCGACGGCACACAACAACAACAACAACAACACAACAAATTTTTTGAGGGCTTATTGTTGTTAAGAGTTGTCAAGTTGACTACCACTTTTAGCGATCTGATGTACAAAGGACTTGAACCTGTCCTATCCTATGCCATCCTCATCTTTTCTGTGATACCTGACTCTACTGACATAGTCTCTGTGTCAGTCCATATTGTTGAGAATCATTCCCTCCTTCGTTAACCCTCCACCTTTCCAAACATGAGTCCCTTTTCAAGGACTAGCTCCTTCTAACAAGCAGCCCTAAGTATATGAGATAAGGTTTCATTATCCTTGCTTGTAAGAAACACCCTGGTAGTACCTTTTCCAAGACATATTTGTTTGGGTTTATTTTTATTTATTTTTTTTTTTTAGCAGTCTGGAGGCTTAAAGGCAAGGAATTTTCGATGGCAATCCAACCTTGTTTGAGCCCACCAGAATCCAACAGTTGCTTTGTAGGACAAAGATGGACAATCGCCTCACCTGTAATATCGCCTCTGAAAACCTGGTTGAGGGTCAGTTCTGAATCGTTTCCTAATAGATGGTACCCCAAATACCGTTTTAAAAAGAATCTTATTCCAGGAGCTCAGGTTATCTGTACGGTGTTACTCTACTACCCCAAAGGTTTTGCGTCTCTGCTGGTTTGAATTCACCAGCAACTCCGAGGAGAAAGAATAGGCAATTTTCTTGAGTCTTATTCCAGAATTCCTTTAAGCAATGTCAAACGTATCATCCTAACATTAACAAACAATTTCCATCCACCATTACTCTCTCCAGTGCTTTGTTTTACCCCTTTATTTGCTTTTTTTAAATACAACAAGCGTAGTGAATTTTTTGAAATAGTGAATGCGCTTAATGTTCATCTTTTTTTTTTAAATTTCATCTAACTTCAATGAAGTTACCAGTTTGTTCTTTAAGACTTCCTGGAACAAGTTTCTGATCACAGAGCAAAGCGCTTCTGTTTACCTCCTTCATCTATCTGATTAAAGTAGCCCTGACGCTGATTTAGCAACAAGAAATCCCAGACTTTCCCAAGGGCGACAGAACTCAAACGCTGTCCCAACTTTCAGATGGTGCAATTCTCAGAGCTTCGGAGTACGCCACGCCCCCGGCGGCCGCCGTTGCGTCATGACGTCATACGTTTCACCGGAGGTGACGCTAAGTGAACAATCCTGTTGCTTTTCCGGACTGGTTCTCTTGTAGTTACAGGAGGAACGCGGGAACTTGGATGTAGGCACATCTTCTGTCTTTGCCTACCGACTTCAGGCTTGTCTGAAGATCCAAAACGTGAGCGTCCTGGCTGGGGCGGCGTAATGGAGGTAGTGGAAGCCGCCGCCGTCCAGCTGGAGACACTGAAATTCAATGGCACGGGTCTTGGTTCTGACAATCGGCTGGAGGCACCGACTCCGGGCCTCCCTCCAGAACCAGAACCACAGCCGCCACTACAAGCGGCTGGGGCATCATCGACCACTGGGCAGACAGAAGAGGCGAGGCCTGCGGGAGAGCTAGCAGCTCAGCCCTCGGTGGATGCCGAGGTCAACGGCGACCCGGCCTCACAGTGGCTGCCGGAACCACCACCTGGCGGGAACTGCGTCACGGCTCAGGTTGCGGCTGGACCAGTTCGCATTCCTAACTCCTTGGAGACCTCGGACTCGGACTCGGACTCGGACTCGGACTCAGAATCAGACAGGTTGGGTGCTTGGGGGCTGCGGAGCTCCGGGAAGAGGGTTTGTGATTGGAGAAGCCCGGGCTGATGACCCAGACGATGCCCTCGTGGGCGCGGGAGGGAGGCTCTGTCCCATGCGCCGGCTGCACCTGTAGACATGTTTGTTATCTCCCTTTTCGCGCTGCACAGCACTTCTTGAATGTCTAAACTTGATAATCTGAAAGGATCAGATTTTTATTTAGAATATGGAAAATCTTAGGTTATTACATTACTTTCAGGACAACTTTGTTTCACCTATTTGAAGTTGTAACATTGGAGTTTTGTGTCAGATTTTAATTTTTATAACTTGTAGTTGTAGTTTATGCTGGTTTCGAGTTGAGTGAATAACGATCAGGAAAAGAATTGTATTTTATGCTGTTTTTGAGTTGAGTGAGTGAAGATCAGGAAAAGAATTGTATTTTATGCTGTTTTTGAGTTGAGTGAAGATCGGGAAAAGAATTAGTGTGTTTCTTAATTGGCACCTGACAATTGTTAGTTAATATGTAGAATCCTGAGAGCACGTGCTCATGAAATTAGTTAAAACTACATTTTTTTTTCTTTTTTTCATTTTGTTGAGTGCCATCAAATCAGATTTGCCAAGTGGAGCCCAAGATGGTGAAACTTTGTCTCAGGAAGGGGTGCGGGGAAGCACTTTGAGATAGAACTCATTTATAGCGGACCCTCTAGCAGGTTTTCAGAGGCTATAAATTTACTGGAGAATAGCCATCTTAGGAGCCGCAGGTGGCTTTTAACCCTTGTTGAGGTGCCACGTTTAGGTTAGCAGTGTACCTTCCTACAAATTTCCTTGGAAACTAGGGAGTTTGATGGCATACCCTATAGGTATTGCTAACCCACTAGCAACTCAATAGGAAAAAGATGAATAACCTCCTACATGGAAACCTAGTAGTATGTCAGTTTTGAGTTGTTTTTGATTCAGAAAATTCTGTAATTGCCTTGAGATTGGGGCAGTTTTAGAAGAGGTCATTATTGAGTGTTGATGTATTTCAGCAATTGCAGCCCTCGACATGTTCACTAGTTTATGCCAAGAAATTTATGGCCTATTGACTGGAAGTGATCCATATTTGTTCCCATCCCAGAAATAGGTAATCCAACAGAATGAAAGTAACTAACAATATCATAAATGTCACATGCAAGTAAAATCTTGCTGATAATTATGCAAAAAATGGCTGGAACGGTAAATGAGCAGGGAACTGCCAGAAAGTCAAGCTATATTCTGGAGATGCTGTGGATGTGGAACAACATTGCAGATCTCAGGTCGTGGTTGAAAGCAGAGAATACCAGAAAGATGTTTGTTTTTGTTAGTCGATTATGACTCATAGCGATCCTGTGAACAACAAATCTTAACCCTATTCTATATCCTGTGTCATCTTCACCATTTCTAACACACTGGAGACTGTTGTTATAGCCCACCATGTCAGTTCATCTTACTGAGAGTCTCCCTCCCTTTTTCAGCATGATGTCCCTTTCCTAGTAATAGCCTCACCTAGCAACATACCAAAGTGTATGAGTTGAATCTTTACTATCCTAGCCTCCAAGTAACATTCTGGTTGTACTGTTTTCCAGGATATGTTGTTTTGGGATTTCATGGGATATTCTCTGCTTTTGTCCAGTACCACAACTCAGAAGTACCAATTAGTTTTTAGATGCGTTTCAAGTGATTGAAAAGATCATGGTGTGACTCAGGCACAGTTTAATCGTCAAGCTTATGTTGTTTTTTCATAATTTGAAGACATCCTTAATAGTGCAGTGTGTCTCCTGATCTCTTGACTGCTAGTACCAAGGGTGTTAATTGTAGAACCAAGTAAGATGAAATTAGTGACATGTTCAGTCTCTTCTCCACCTGTCTGATGTTTGTTGCTTATTGGTCCAGTGGTGAGAAATTTTGTCATCTGTTGAGATACAATCCATATTGAAGGCTGTAGTCCTTGATCTTCTGCAGCAAGCATTTAAATCATAGTAATTTTCAGCAAGCAAGATTGTGTCATCTATATAACACAGGTTTTTGGTGAGTCTTCTTCCTACCCTGAAGCCCTTCTGTTTGTTGACCATATAGATTGAATAGGTGTGATACAGATTGAATAGGTATGAAGAAAGGATACAAACTTTATGAACACTTAGATGTTTACTGTTGTTATGCACATTTGTGTCGACTATGACTCACAGCAACTCTTATGAACAAACAGCTCTGAATTCTGCCCTATCTTGAACCAGTCTCACTGTCTCTGACACACCTGTCCCCATTACCATAGCCATTGTGTCAGTCCATCTCCTCCTGGGTCTTCCTCTTTTGCACTGACCCTCCATCTTTCCAAGCATGATGTCATTCTATAAGGACTGGTCCCTCCTAGCAAATGACAAAAATATGTGAGATACATTTTCAAAATCCTTAGTTCCAAGGAACACCTGACTTCACTCTCCCTAGGACAGACTTGCTTGTTCTCTTGTCAGTCTGTGGTATGTTCTGTACTCTTATTCGGCATCACAAATCAAAGTCAACAATTCTTCTGTCATGTTTGGTAATTGTCCAGTTCTCTGATACATAGTAAGTAGTTGGGAAGACTATATCCAGGACCAGGTACACCTTAGTCTCTAGACTGACATCTTTGGTCTTCAGCACTCTGAAGGGGTCTCCGACAACAGATTTTCCTGATTTTTTTTCCATCTTTTGACTCCCTGGATGCTAGTGCCAAGAGTTTGGAATCAGGGATGGCATCCACTTCCTAAACAACATGCCTCCGGAAACTGTGAACTTTGATAAATGTCAGTAGTTATAAAGGGGCTTCAGGTCTTTTGTTCATAGGGTCACTGAGTCTTGCTTAACTTGAAGGCAGTCAACAATGCCAAGAGTGTTGATCATGGAGTTGAGCAAGCTGTAATTGTTCACAATCTCAGTTTCTTCTCCATCTACTGTTATGCTACCAGTGGGGTCAGTGGTGAGAGTCTTGGTTTTTTTGATACTGCTTTTCAGTCCATATTGCAGAGTACAGTCTTTGATCCTCTGCAGCAAATGCTTCAGGCTCTCATCAGTTTCAGTAAGCAAGTTTGTGTCATCTGCATAACACTGGTTGTTGGCAAGTGTTCTTCCAATTATGATGCCACATTCCTCCTCTTAAAGTCCAGCCTCTCAGATGAAAAGGGATGGAGAAAGGATGCATCTCTGATGCACTGCTTTTCTGATTAGGAAGCATGCAGCATTTCCTTGCTCTGTTTTCATGACTGCCTTCTGGTTTCGCAGGAGCACAATCAGTTGTTCTGGGATGCCCATTCTTCTCAAGGTTAGCCACAATTTGTTGTAATACACACAGTCAAATGCTTGCATAGTCAGCGAAACACAGAAAGACAGTCCTCTGGTACTCTGCGTTTGGCCAGTATCCATCTAACATTGACAACGATGTCCCTAGTGTCATAGCCTCTCTATAACCAGCTTGTATTTCTGGTAGTTCTCTGTCGAGGTGGAAAACAACATATACTCATAATTAGATTGAGCAGTTTTATCTTGCTCTCTAATGTTCAGGTTTAACCTAGATTTAACTGTCATTAACATTTTTAATAGGAATATTAGTTTCTTTTATGGAGATATTTTAATTTACAGACTACTTTGATACTTTATATGTAAATATTTCAGCATTGTCTAAGTAATGAGTTCTCTGCATATATGTATACTACTGTATTTTCTGTATAATACCTAGTCATGGAAGATTTTTTTTTTTAAGGTGAGAGACACTAGTCACAAAGAGAAGAGTAGCAGAATAAAGAAGTTATTTTTGTGAAAATAGGGTAGTGCTGACAATAATTATATAACTGTTATGGAAAAATGAGTGAAAAAGAAATGAAAACCCAAAAAAGGTCATTGTAGGGGTGAAACTGGAATGAAGAAATGGAATTTTAAGAATGTTTCCCAATCAGAAGATGGGACATTTTTCATTAATTAAGAGATGCAATAGTTGAAAATTATCCCAGCAATGAAAATACACACACACACTCTTACTCTCACAGAGTAGTAAAGAGTTGTTTGTTACTATCAAGTTGATTCTGACTCAGGGTGATGGCAAGAATGCAGAGAACTGTTCCATAAGTTTACAAGACTAAGACCTTTCAGGAAACAGACATCAGGCTTGTCCAAGGCACCTCTGAATGTGTTTGAACACTCTGTTCCACTCAGGAATGTGAGTGAAGAGAATCTTCCTGTTTGTAACTTTCTGCAAGTATGAATGTAGTGCAGATCATTGATACAGAGATGGCTATTACGCATCCGTAGCTTATAGTTGGTATCTAGAATTGTCAAGGCTAAAGCTTTAGTAGTTAATTGCACCTACAGAATGATCAGCATAAATGGAAAGGATATGATACAGATGGAGAGTACAGAGAGGGAAGAGAAAGTGAAGATAGAATCCGAAAAAAATAGCATATGTAAGAGACTATAGGGGAGCAAGCCCCTCTAAATTATATTTAAACATGAGAGGAGGATTACTGGTAACAGGCATTGCTGTGAAAGTTAACCAAAGGAGTTTTCAGAGGGGAACATGTTCAGCATGCTGAATTATTCAGTTTATCTGAAGACTGAGGAGAAACTAGTGATGATTAATGTGATTATTGGGCGTTATGAGTGGTTCTTGTCCAGGGCTCCCTTTAACATTCATTTTTATTCTGCTTAATTTTTAGCAAGGTAGATCTTTAGAATATGAAAATACTCTAGTGAGAAGATTTCGACTAAAACAGGAGTTAAGAAAACATGTATTAAAAGAATTTTCCAAGTACTGTAACATTTTAATATACTGTATTTCGCATTAAAATGCTAGACTTTTAGTTGAACCTGCAAGAGTGGTAGATATTTTCAAGTTGAATAATCTTACTATCATTACAATAATATTTCACTAAATATTTAACCTTTTCCCCTACAGCGATACTGATTCAGATAGTTCCAGTTCCTCCTCATCTTCCTCCTTATCTTCTTCTTCACGTATGTCACTGCCTCCAGTGCTGTCAGATGGAGAAGATGACTTACTAAATGAGAAGGAGAATAAGAATTTTCCTCTTAAAACAAAAGATGAGTTACTTCTTGATGTAAGTATTTACTTTTACTACTATTTCATTTTCTTGTTTTAAAATGTATGATGTACTGATTGATTGCATTTGGTGGTCAATAACTGCATAAATTTTGGTGCTATTTTTAGTTTTTTATTGAGACATGCTTCTGCCACATTATGGTTTTTCTTAAGTAAAAGAATTGATCACGAGAACTTTTAAAGTGATTTAGCCCTAACATTTGAGAATTAATTTTGCTAGGGTATTGACTTTAGCTTGCTTTTGTTGTTCTTTTGTCTAAAATACGCTTTCTTGGTGGACTTTTTTTTAGCTTCAAGTGAAAAAAAAATAGGCTCAGGAAATGTTACTGTTAGTGGCTGTCAAGCCAACTATGACTCATAGCTACCTTATGTGCAAAAGATCTAACCCTTACTCAGTGTATCCTGTCTTTGCCATTTCTGCCATGCTTGTGATTGTTGTTGTTATGTGCCATTGAGTCACTTGCAACTCATAGCGACCCTATGTACAACAGCCCTAAACTCTGCTCTAATCCTGTGCTAATTGCACTGCCTCTGACACACCCATCCCGATTACCCCAGTGACTGAATCAGTCCACCTCACAGAGGGTCTTCCCCTCCTGTGCTGTCCCTCCACCCTACCAAACATGATGTCCCTCTCCAAGGACCTGTCCCTTCTTACAACATGTCCAAAATATGTCAGACAGAGCCCCAGAATCCTTGCCTCCAAGGAGTAGCCTGGTTTAACCCTCTCCAGGGTGAATCTGTTTTCTTGGCAGTCCATGGTACATTCAATACTCTTCTCCAGTGCCACAGCTCAAAGGCATCCATTATCCATCTATCCTCCCTGGTCATTTACCAACTCTACGATGCATAACAAGTAATTGCAAAGACCATGGCCTGTATCAGACGCACCTTAGTCTCCAGAGACACACCGTTGCCCTTGAGTACTTTAGAGAGGTCCCTAAAGGCAGACTTTCCCATTGCAATACGTTTTTTGATTTCCTGGCTGCTGGTGCCAAGAGTGTTGACCGTGGAGTTGAGCAAACTGAAGCTGTGAACAATCTCAATCTCTTCGCCATCCATCCTGATGCTGCCAGTTGGTCCAGTGGTGAGAATCTTTGTCTTCTTGACATTGAGCCTCAGTCCATACTGAAGACTGCAGTCCTTGACCCTCTGCAGCAAGTGCATGAGGTCGTCCTCAGTTTCAGCAAGCAGGGTTGTGTCATCTGCATAACGCAGATTGTTAATACATCTTCCACCAATCCTGATGCCACACTTGTCCTCATAGAGCCCAGCCTCTCGGATGATCTGCTCTGCATACAGGTTGAAAAGGTATGGAGATAGGACACATCCCTGAACTACGCCCTTCCCAATTTTGAACCATGCAGTGTTACCCTGCTCTGTTCTGACGACTGCCTCTTCGTCCAAATATAGATTCCCATTCTTCTCAGAGTCAGCCACATTTTGTTATGATCCATGCAGTCAAATGCCTTTGCATAATCAATGAAACAGAGATATACATTCTTCTGGTATTCTCTGCTCTCAGCTAAGATCCATCTAACATCAGCTATAATATCCCTAGTACCACGACCCCTTCTAAACCCAGCCTGGACTTCTGGCAGTTCTCTGCTGATGTGCTGATCCAGTCGTTTTTGGATAATCTTCAGTAGAATCTTGCTTGCATGTGAAATCAATGATATTGTTCTATAGTTTCCACACTCTGTGGGGTCACCCTTCTTTGGAATGGGAACAAATATAGACCTCTTCCAGTCAGTTGGCCAAGTGGTGGTTCTCCAGATTTCTTGACACAACTTGGTGAGCACATCCAGGGCAGCGTCTGTTAGCTGAAATATGTCAATTGGTATACCGTCTATTCCTGGGGCCTTATTTTTTGGTATTTCCTTCAAAGCAGCTTGAACTTCTTCCTTCATCACCATAGCTCTTGCTCATATGTTATTTCATTAAATTTTTCTGTATCTGCCAATTCCTTTCTATACAATGACTCAGTATATTCCTTCCACCTTCTTTTAATATTTCCTAGATCATTTAATATTCTGCCTACAGCATCCTTGATTATAGCAACTCTAGGTTTGAATTTGTTCTTCAATTCCTTGAGCTTAAGAAATGCTGAACGATTTCGGCCCTTTTGCTTTTCCGACTCTAGCTCCCTGCATATTTCATTGTAATATTTTTCTTTGTCGTCCCATGCTGCCTTTTGGAATCTTCTGTTCAGCTCTTTAGTATCTTGAATTCTTCCTTGTGCTTTGGCTTCTCTATGTTCCAATGCAATCTTGAGAGTTTCTTCTGACATCCATTTTGGTCTTTTCTTCCTCCTCTGTCTTTGTAATGACTGTTTGCACTCTTCCTGCATGATACATTTAACATCCTCCCACAGCTCATCTGGTCTTCGCTCGTTAGTGTTCAAGGCCCCAAACCTGTGCCTGAGATGATTCTGAAATTCAGGTGGGATGAAATCAAAGTCATATTTTGGCTCTTGTGGATTCAGTTCAATTTTCCTCAGCCTCATCTTGAATTTGTATATGAGTAGTTGGTGGTCTGTTCCACAATCAGCTCCTGGCCTAGTTTTCACAGATTATATTGAGCTTCTCCAGCGGTTTTTTTCCCACAGATGTAATCGATCTGATTCCTATGCATACCATCAGGTGAAATCCATGTGTATAACCTACGTTTATGTTTCTTATAAAACGTATTTGCAATGAATAAGTCATTGATTGTACAAAATTCAGTCATTCTATCTCCAGACTCATTTCTGTCACCAAGTGCATGTTTTCCAACTACTGATTCTTCTCTTTTCCCAACTTTTGCGTTCCAGTTGCCCATTATTATCAATGCATCTTGATTGCATGTTCGATCTATCTCCGGCTGTAAAAGTTGTTAGAAATCATCTATTTCATCTTCTTTGGCTCTTGTTGTTGGTGCATATATCTGAATGATAGTGGTATTCACTGGACTTCTTTGTAAGTGTATGGATATAATCCTGTCACTCACAATGTTGTACTTCAAGGTGGATCTAGAAATTACTTTTTTAACTATGAAAACAACCCCATTTTTTCTCACCTTTTCATCTCCAGAGTAATATATCATATGATCATCTGACTCAAAATGCACAATGCTGGTCCATCTCATCTCTCCTATCCCTAGTATGTCAATATTTATGCGTTCAATTTCTTTCTTAACAATTTCTAATTTTCCTACATTCATGGTTCTCACATTCCATGTTCCAATCACGGGTGTCTGCTTACAATTAATCCTCTTCCTTTGTATATCTATACTTGAAAGTTCTACCTAGGTTTAGTCTGCGTGTTAGTCTACGTGTGTTCTGTCATACATAGGGTTTTCATAGGCCTATTTCAGAAGTGGATGGCCAGTCCTTCTTCCTAGACTGTCTTAATCTCAATGTTCAGATTTAGAGGAGTATCTGACAGACAAGCAATTTATGGAGCAGTGAAAGATAAATCCCTCATTGTGGAGTTAACCATTAGTTACAGTGTTGTCCCTGCCCTTAGCCCAGTGCCTTGACCCACTTATTTCCCAGCTCCACCCTCCACCAGGATATCCTTTCACTTCTACCAAATTCCTTCAGAATTTATCTTCCATTTTCCAACCCTTGATCTGACAGCTTTTATCTGAAGCTTTCTTGGCTTCTGTGATTCCAAACATGTCAACTGCTGACAATTTTTTATGCTTGACCAGTGTCTCTTAAGTTTAGTTGTCCTATCTCCGAAGGGAAGGTGATGTGTCCTGTAAGAACTCCTGTATAGATTCTATTTTTCTTCTTGGTCTTCGGGCCCGACCCATCTTGGCTCGGCCTTTGGGCTTTTCTACCTGTGGGCATGGCAAAAGCTTTTGTTGCGAGTGGCTTCTCTATTGGCTGGCCCGCGATTTTGCCTGTGCGGCTTCCAGTTCTGCCCGGTGGCGTGTCCCTCTGTCTTCCCTCTGCTTGCGATTATGAAGGGAAAATATCACAGCTTGGATCAATCTTTTTAAGACATTTTTGCTCATTAATCATTGGCAGGCCTTTATTGTTTGTTTGTTTGTTTGTTTAACACATGGGTATTTTTTCACTAACAACTTTTATTTAAGACAATTCTTAAAATGCTCTTTTTTGTGATGAATGTGACACTGCTGTTTTTCACTTTGTCAATCCTGACATAGTAGTAGATCATGGGATTATCTGACTCAGAATAACCTTTATCAATACAGTCCGTCTCTGCTCACTAAGGCTTAGGATGTTGATCTTTATGTTGTTCACCTTAATTTTTGACAACTTGCACTTTCTGTAGATTCATGCCATACATCTCACGTTCCACTTATTAATGGATGTTTGCAACAGTTTTCTCATTTTATCAAATGTAGGTTCTTCATTGGGTGAAAACTTTACTTACTGTTGTTAAGGTAGACTACTTTGAGGAGGCAGCTTTCCCTAGTCATACTTTGAGGGCTTTTGAATCTGAGTAGCTCATCTTCCTGTACTGTAAAAGACAGTATTCTTCTATTTATAGTGTTTTTGAGAGCTGCTTATTTAAAAAGTGCATGGCTCTTCTTGCTTCTTAGTCTGTCTTAGAAAGTTTCTGCTGAGACCTTCTGGTATTGTAAATAGCTAGTGGCATAACTTTCAGCATCACAGCAATATGCAAGACATGTCAGTACGGAAAACTGACAAGTAAGTGGTGAGTGATATAGATAGCAGTAGAAATCATTCTTTTTAAGTGAATTGCATTTAGAAAAAGTGAAGTTAGATGATTTAAACTTTTTTTTTTTAATTCCTGATTTTTTTAAGAGCTTGTATTATTTAGATTAGGGAAAAGTTATTCTAGAGTAACTTAAAATAGAGTGATGTATATTGTTGTGTACTGTCAAGTCGGAATCATGCCATAACTGACCCTCTGGGTGCACAAGAAGAGATTGTCCATCTTTTACCCATGGAGCAGTTGGTGGATTTGAACCGTGTGCCTTTGGGATTGCAGCTCAACTTTCTCACCACTAGATCACCAGAGC